TCCCCCCCTCTTTCTCTCTCTCTCTCTCTTTCTCAACGTCACCAGGGTGCAGAATTCAGTAGATGAGCCCCATGAGACATCTGTCCGTAGACGATGTCTGCTGCAATCATGACTTTCCTACATCTTGATGGTCCACATTCTCAAGGCCGATCTTCATATACTTTTGTACCATTTTCCCGTTCGCAAAGCTATCAGAGGATAGGAATGTGTTCATGATTCCTCGATCGTCTTGAAAAGCGTGAACATTTTTTCTATGACACTTGGTTCCTTGACAAAGCCTATAGTCACCTTTCAGGTTATATCAACTCTACAAATGCTGTCTGTTTGGGCAACTTCACCCCCCCCCCCACATTGTCTCTAGAAACAGCTCCACACTAATGTGTACAGTGTGTGTAGCTTTGAATGCTTATGGTTGAGTGGTTGAGTGGATTCTTGTGTTTGGCCACCCCTGAACATTACGAACGACGCATTAAAATGTGTCGAGTCCAAAGGAGGACATATAGATCAGTGATTCTTGGAATTCCAGAATTACAAAAAATATATTTTTAAAAATCTGTAGGAAAAAAGAAATATTTTTTAAAGGTCACAGGGATGAAAAGATTAGATTTTTTTTTAAAAAGGAAAGGCAAAAACAAACCAATCGTTTCATGACTTTCCTTACAAAATCTTTTAAATTGATCCATTTTGCATTTCTTAAAATAAAAGCCATTTCCGTTTTCGTTAATAAGTTTCTTCTTTGTGAATTTTATGTCAAACAAATTCCTTTTGAATGAATTATATCTGTTCCAAATTACAATATTCCTGTACAAATTTTTGCAAGATATTTAGTAAAAAAGTTGTACTTTTTTTTGGATCCCCCAGTACATGTGAAGTTCTGTGATGAGCTTTTGTTTTTTAATGTTTTGTTCCGAATCCTGATGAAGTGTCAGATTTTTAAGACACTTAGAAATTGTGTCAAAATCGAAGTAATTGCTATGCTTTAAGAAAAACAAAAACAAGACAGGTAAAAGGAGAATTGTTTGGAAGTTGATGATGGTGATGATGAATGCGCTGGGTGTCTTTTTGTGATGAGTCTTTTTTGTGATGTGTCTTTTTGGGATGAGTCTTTTTTGTGATGTGTTTTTTTGTGTTGTGTCTTTTGTGGTGAGTCTTTTTTGTGATGTATTTTTAGTGATAAGTCTTTTTATGATGTGTCTTTTTTGTGATGTGCCTTTTCATGATGTCTCTTTTTGTGATGTTTGTCTTTTTGTGATGTGTCTATTTTGTGATGTGTCTTTTCATGATGTGTCTTTTTATAGTGTGTCTTTATGTGATTTTTCTTTTTGGGATGTGTCTGCAGAGACAAAGGCCAGCTGCCAATCTCGCTGGGAGCGCCGTGTAACAACATGTGTAGCTGTGACACGGACCTGTTTGAGCCCGTGTGTAACAACGAGACTGGCGTGTACTTCTCTCCGTGCTATGCAGGGTGCACAGAACAGACGGGCCCTAATGTGAGTCTTGTTTCTGTTTGTGTTTGCGTTGCAACCATGTATATTGTCTGAAAATTAAGGTATAACGACTATGCGTAAGGTATCCCTGATAATTACTCAATGTCCCTGATTTTGAGCAAGGCTGTCCCTGATACCTACAGAGAGGGGTGGGTAGCTATGAATCAGGCGCTTGTCAAAATAATGACATTGAAGAAATTGACCTTTTTCCACCGGTGTGGTAATTTTTATAGAAAATTTGTGTTTTGGCTCAGAACCTTTTATGTCCTTTTAAGAACCCATTTCTGTGTGGGTTTTGCTAAAAAAAAGGCACAAAAAATGTAAATTGTCCGTTTCCACTGACTCTCAGGCGATGGAAATAATCAAATTTTGGCGTCCGTTTTCTCACTAATTTTACCTCTGAAACCTAGCGACTCTCACCTCCTTGAATTGCAAATATATCTCGACTTGTGTTCAAGATAAATGGGTATTTCATTCATCAAAAACAAGACAATTGAACAAGCTTTAAGGCGATAATGATAATGATAATAATAATAATAAAAATAATAATAATAATAGTAATAGTAATAGTAATAATAATGATAATAATAGTAATAATGATAATAATAATGGGATTTTATGTTGCACCGAATGCCCAGAAGGCTCTAAGTGCTGCACAATGTAGAATCATGACTCAACTAATGAATCAAAGGACAGAATAGGAGATTATTTGACAATTACAGCAGTAGCAGTAGCAGCAGCACACATACACTCACACACACACACATGCTCACACACACATACACACACACTCAAGCACACACCCACAAGTACACACACACACACATAACTCCCACTCCCACACACAGTCTTACACATACAACATTTACTGACAAAGGATAGTATAGTTTTAAAGTTGAACAAATGTGTCTTTAGACCTGTCTTAATTAAACTCTCTTCCTGATGTTATGATACATGTTTCTTTTGGGAGGGAATGCCACATTTTTGGGGCTCAGGAAGAAAAAGCTCTTCTTCCCAACTTGTTAGACTTTACTGTGGGCACTCTCTCAAGGTTCTCATCTGCAGATCTCAAATGTCTTAATGGCACATGTCTCATTAAAATCTTTGAGTAATAGTGGTGCTTTGTTGTTCATGTACATAAAGCATGCTGTAAAGCATATTATTATTATTATGATTATGATTATTATTAGTATGACTCTTTTCCTCTATGCAGACGGTCAATTTAGCTTAAGATTGTCTTCATGCAGCTTCTTTCAATAATTATTATTATGATAATGATGATGATGATGATGATGATGATGATGATGATGATTATTGTTTATTGTTATTGTTATTATTGTGATTGTTGTGATTGTTATTATTGTTTTCATATTATTACTACTATTATTATTGTTGTTATTGTTTTTGTTGTTTTATATTGTTATTATTGTTATTATTATAATTGTTATTGTTATTGTTAGTGCTATCATTATTATTACTATAGGGATTTTTTGCATGTATTCTAGCCAGTCCTTCCTTACCTGACCTGTGACCTCTATTACCTCTGTGACCCCTGACCCGATCCCTCTCGGCAGGTGTTCTCCCACTGCGCCTGTGTGTCGGCCATCTCTCGTCCGGGCAACCAGAGCAGCGTGAGCCAGCAGCTGTCCTCGGAGAACTGCCGGCAGCCTTGCAACATGCTCTACCTGTTCATCTCGCTCCTCTTCTTCTCCATGTGCCTCTCCTTCATGCCCATCGCCCCCGGGGACTCCATACAGCTCAGGTGAGCGGTTTTTGGGCGATGAGATGAGATAAGATGGGATCGTTTTTTGGGAGATAAGATGAGATAAGGTAGGATAACTTCCTACAGCTGACGTGAGCAGTTTTTGGGACATAATATGAGATAGGATGGGATGGGATGGGATAGTATGAGATAAGATAAGGTAAGATAGGATAGGATGAGATGAGATAGTGTAGGATTGGATAGGACGAGATAGGATAGGATTAGATGAGATAAGGTAGGATAAAATGAGATGGGAAGAGATAAGATGGAATAGGATAGGATGAGATGAGATAATTCTTTCATTATGTCGACAGGCACTGGTGCTTTGGTTTGGTATTTCATCATACAGACACTCGCGCACACACATGTGTGCATGCTCATGTACAGGCACATGCATGCACACACACACATGTGCACACATATACACGCACATGCACAATCCGACACACACACACATAGCGACCTCAGTGCTTTCTTGTCGTATCTCCATTTTTAATAGCAGTGAAAACAGTTCATAACAAAGAAGAAGCCACATTTTAACTGTTTAAAAAAATGGAGATACGACAAGAAAGCACTGAGGTCGCGACAAATGTGTGTACACTCACACAGACACCAACACATACTCTCACACACACACACACACACAGTAACACACACACCCTCACGTACACACGCATACCCTCACACACACACACACACACACACACACACACACACACACACACACACACACTCCTGAACACACAGACACACCCATACACACATACTTTGTCACACATCCTGTCTTCCACACATATACACATACACTCGTAATATAATATGAGTAATAATATAATGTAATAGAATGAGTAACTTCTCTCAATCCATTTTATGGACGTCAATAGCGGGGTCCTATTTGTAGGTTTTGAATTGATGCCATTTTTTTTTCAAGTCTAAAATGTCTTATTATTTTATACTTTTAAATTACACAGACTCCAGCTACAAGTTTGACATAAAATCTATTTCTGTATGGCTAAAATATATAAGAAGTAACTCATTTTATCAGCAAGCCTCACGTATGACGGTACTCATATAAACAGACCCACACATGGAAATATAAATTAACTATCAATGTTACCAATAATAATGTTTCAGCCTTTGAGCCCTGACCTCCTGGGGCTACCGTGCCCCTCTGCCTGGGCTCCTGAGCGTTATATTACTAATTTTCATAAGATCGTCGGAATCACATTCCATATCCCACTCAGTGTGTAGTACTCATCATTGCCAGCATTTAATTTTGAAAAATCTTCAAAACAGTCAATCATAACCTGTGCGGCAAACACTGTTTTCCCTGTGCGTTTTGCACCAGACATGCCAGGTTGGAGATAGGCTCTGGCTTACCGGTGGCTGGCACACGGGCTGTTTTGCGGTGGCAAGGGCTCAAAGGGTTAAGCTAGATACATAATCTGTGTTCTGATAGTCATCTAATGGCAATGGTAATCTGATGGAACATGCTTTAAGGGTCACAGAAATACTTACTTTACAAGATGGTTAAGATGGTGGGAGTTAGATGGGTGATAATTTTTACCTACTACTAACAGAATGAAAGTGATACTGTGTAACCTGGACAGGCAAGGGGTTAAAAAAAACAACCCCGGTCAAAATTGTCCAAGACAGCAGTCATGATATTCTTGTACTTGAATATACAATACAAAAATAAACACTTCCCTTCCCTATGAAACCAATATAGCTGAATGTTTGTTTTCCTCTTGTGCTCATCTGACATAGATCAAATATGAAGAATTCATTACATCATAACATGGTGTCAGAAGTGAAGAGGTTTGCCCACTTAATAAGTGAAAGCAGGTGAAATCAATTAAACTCTTTATTGTAATTCTATATCTAGATATAGATAAAAGTTTAATTACATACGCACACTCAGGGAGCAGACTTCTGGGCCGATAAAAGTAGGCCTACGTCATTAATGTTTCTCCTCATGGAAGCTCCGTGAGTGAACCAAGGGACGCAACCAGATCAAAGTTTCATATCTCTAAAGTCAACAAGTTTTGCCTCCCTTTAATAGGCACTAAAACTGCCACCACCACAGCCTGTGAATTTCAGGAATGAAACAGGCCAGCTAGCTGACAAGTGGAAATCATGGAGGGAGACAATAACTTAATGCATAGATCTAGTGATGCAAGACAAGTCTGAGAAAGAAAAATGTCAAACTATCCTCTACCTCATAGGAGAGGAAGGAAAGAAGATTTACCACACATGTCAAAATCCCAGAAGAGGAAAGAGACAAAGTGGCCCCACAAATGGAAAGATTTACCGACTACTGCACCCTCAAAGCAAACATCACCTTAGAAAGGTACAAGTTTAATACAGCGAGTCAAGCTGAGGAGGAAAATGCGGAAGAATACGCCACAAAATTCGGGAAATTAAGTAAAAATTGCAATTATGGGAAGCTAGAAAACGAGCTAGTAAGAGACAGACTTATTGTGGGACTGAGAGACAACTCCTTGAAAGAACGGTTACTCAGAGAGAGTACACTTACACTGGATACAGCACTGCAAATGTGCATGATTGAAGAAATCTCAAAATCAGATAGCCAATAAGGAATGTCAGTTCAGTCAGACTGCAGAGGAAAAATTCCAGTCCGTTACCAAAAGTCTACAACCCATCAGCAAAATATAAACCCAAGTATGGGTAAAGTTGTCCTCAGAGCATTATACCACACCTACGCTGGAGGAAATTCTGCCAAGCCTTTCAGGCGCAAAGTATTTTTCCATCCTGGATGCCAAATGTGGTTATTGGAATGTGGAGTTAGACAAAGAGTCAAGTTACCTCTCTACATTCAACTTGCCAGAAGAAAGATTCAGATTTCAGAGAATGCCATTTAGATTGAGAAAGAGTCAAGATATTTTTTAAAAGAAGATTGACCAAACTTTTGAAGGATGCCAAGGTGTCATAGGCTTTGCAGATGACTTTTTTGTTTTTGGAAAAACAGAACAAGAAGATGATCAACACCGACACGAGATGATCAGAAAATGTGTCGACACTTGACTGAAACGAAATCCAGAGAAATGCCGCATAAAGCAAAAGCAAATCAAGTTCTATGGTGTAATAGTCACTCAAGATGGAGTCAAACCAGACCCCTCAAAAGTAGCAGCCATAAGAAACATGAAGGCTGCAGAGAATGCAAAAGACCTACAAACTTTCTTAAGTCTGGCAACATACATGGGACATTTCATTCAGAATCTAAGCACATTGACCACATCCTTGAGAGAACTGCTCACAAAGTCAAACAAGTTTGAAGGGTCCCCTAGCCATGAAGAAGCATTTCAGAGAATAAAAAATGCTATCACAAAAGAAGTCACGCTTGCATACTTCGACGCAAAGAAGGAAATCACTGTTCAGGTGGATGCATTGATGAAAGCTTTAGGAGCGACCCTAATGCAGGAAGGAAAACCAGTGGTTTTTGCAAGTAAAACCCTCACTGATTAAAAAAACATGCTACGCAAACATAGAACGAGAATTGTTGGCCGTAGTCTATGGATGTGAAAGATTCCACACATACCTAAACGGATAAGAATTCACTGTGGTATCCGACCTCAAACCTCTACAATCCATTCACCTCAAGCACTTTAAGGCAGAACCGCCAAGATTGCAAAAGATGCTGTTGAGATTACAGCCTTACACTTTCACCATCAAGTACATTCTAGGGAAAGACATGTGTATTGCAGATGCACTGTCATGACTGTCCGTGTCAGATGAAGAGACATGACCCTTGGAAACACAAATCATCAAAATCCATGAAATCCTGCCTCAGTTTAGTGATAACTACATCCACTGAATCACAGAAAACGCAAAAACAGACACAGAAGTCAATGCCCTGAAGGAGACGATCTACAATGGGTGGCCAGGAAATATCAAAGATGTTTCACAACTATGCCGTCCATATTGGAACTACAGAGATGAAATCTCAATTGAAGACGGATTGCTTAAAAGGGATACAGAATCATCATACCACAGAAGATGGAATCAGAAGTCCTGAACAAACTGCATGAACCTCACTTAGGGTTAGTGAAAAGCAAACTGAGAGCAAGGGAAAGTGTGTTCTGGAAAGATATTAACAAAGACATTGAAAACATTGTTAGGAAGTGTGAAACATGCCAGAAACACCAAAGTGGACAGCAAAAGGAACCACTGATACAAACAATAATTCTGCCAAGACCACGGCATACAATAGAAACTGACCTTTTCTATCTCAAAGGAGAAGACTATCTCCTTATCAGGGACTACTATTCAAAATTCCCATTTGTGAGAAAAATCCCAAAGAACCAAAGCACAAGTCACAAGATCGTCACCCTCACCAAGCAAGTTTTCAGAGAATACCAAAAGTGGTTAGGTCTGACAATTGACCCCACTTCAGTGGATCACCGAATAGAAAGTTCTCGGAAGATTACAACTTCAGACATGAAACAAGCTCACCTCACTACCCAAGAAGTAATGGGTACATTGAAAGCCAGGTGAAATTGGTGAAACGGACTCTGGCGAAAGCTTCAGAATCAAACCAAGATCCATACAAGGCTATACTAGCTCTGAGAACTACCCCGATTGACAACAAGCTGCCCTCCTTGGCACGCATTCTTTTTGGCAGACAAATTGAAGACTCATTACCAAGGAAAATACAGAGGAAATAAAATGAAGAAAAGATACAAACATTATTTAATTATTAATTGATGAAGAAACCGTGGTCAATTCCAATGTCATCGAGTCACATCAAGCTTATGTCCATGTGAGCCTATAATCCTGTTGCTAGACCTGAAATGATTATAGTAATTGACAAGATAGTTGACCAATAATGGCAATAACATAAATTGTTGTTAAGAGATATCTTTTGTTGAGTATTCAGTTGAGACAAAGTTAAAAAAATTTTTCGTTAACGTCTTATTTTGTTAAGTTCTGGAACAGAAAGATTGAGAAAGATATTGGAAATGTCCATTTTGAATTTTTCTATAAAGTCAAGGGGACGTCATGATATTTAATACTTGTACTCGAATATAGTGAAGATGTGCGATACAAAAATAAACATTTCCCTTCCCTGTGAAACCAATAAGGCTGAATTTTTGTTTTTGTTTTGTGCTCGTCTGGCATAGATCAAATATCTAGATTTCATAAAATCATAACAACAGCCACCCATTATTGAGGAGAAAATGCTTGTCTTAAACAGGTGTGGAAGAATGTCCAGGTCTCAAAGTGAATGGCGAAAACATTAATAACATTGGGTATGCCAATGACACAGTTTTAATAGCAGACTCAGAAAAGGACCTTCAATTGTTTCTGGATACTGTTGTTATGGAAAGTGAACGTAAAGGGTTATTGTTGAATATGAAGAAAACAGAATGCATTGTGATATCTAATTAAATCTTAAATGTAATCTCATTAGCAAAGGCGAAAAGATCAAACAAGTCCAATGGTTTAAATATCTAGGATATATAATAACATCTGATGCCAAATGTTCCACAGAAAGAAAATGAAGAATTGCAATGGCTAAGGCTAGTTTAAATAAAATAAGCCTGATACTGAAAAAATAGAAACATCTCGGTCAACCCTTCTATATGGCTGTGAATGCTGGACAATCACTAAAGGCAAGGAAATAAAATAGAAGCAACAGAAATGTGGTTTCTTAGGAGACTGCTGAGAATGTCTTGGAAGGAAAAGAAATCAAATGAGATAGTCTAGTACTTGATGAAGCCCATGTGGGACGCTCACTGTTAAAAACAATCAGGAAAAGACAAATGCAGTTTTTGGGACACCTGAATAGACCTAAAGGTCGTGAACATCTAGCTTTCACTGGCAAAATTTAAGGCAAACGAGGCAGGGGTAGACAAAGAGCAACCTACTTAGAAAACCTACACAGATGGGTAACGTGGAAAGATCAGGGTAACGTAGCTTTTTTAAAGAGCATCCGAACAAAAGAATGAATGGAGAGCCATGATCGCGGATGTCTGCTGCAGATCTGGCACTTGATGATGATGGTAATAGACAGGTGAATTTTTCTGACAGTTTCAATGAAGTTTAAAGAAAAAAATATTTTTAAAGGGGGATTGGCAGGGAGTGGTGGCTTGCAACTGTACAAGTAGTCATTTTATATGACAGGTGCCCAGTAGAACTGGTTCGACTGTAGTCTGCCTTGTCCAAGTCTGACTGACCAGGCAGAAATAGATTGGAGAAATGTTTTGTCTTTTTTCTGCGCGAGAGCGGTAGAGACATCCTTGTCACGTCTGGTGCTATGATATTCCCCTTTTGTGAAGAAGTGTGTCACACGTTTGTGGTTGACGATTTCTTTAAATTTGTCTGGATGTAATCCTGTTTCTTAGGGACTGACCATTTATTTTGTGTTTGGTCTTTCATGCTGACTGTCCACTCTTCCGGGAAGTTTCATTGTAGACCTCTTTAGACAAGACTGACTGATGCTACCTTGGTCTGATTTTTATATACATATATATATATTTATATATATACATATACATACAAAGGAAAACCAGTGGTTTTTGCAAGTAAAACCCTCACTGATTAAAAAAACATGCTACGCAAACACACACATCCTGTCTTCCACACATATACACATACACTCGTAATATAATATGAGTAATAATATAATGTAATAGAATGAGTAACTTCTCTCAATCCATTTTATG